AGCATAGATGATCTCATCAAAGTCTACCTTGCAAGGCTTCCAAAGGATGTTATTTCATCAGTGATCACCATCGATCGTACGAACTACGCAATAAGATGGAAGCCATGGTCACTGTGATTTTCATTTCTAATCGTGGCACTTTTTGGTCAAAATCTGGGTTTGTCAGTCTCCGGACCCAATCCCGAGTACGAATGCGTCAGCTCATGCTCTGTGCTGTCAAGGTTCTGATTAGGTTCTGATTTGTGCTGTCAAGGTTCTGATTTGTGGGAGCAGGCTCTCTTGCCAAAAACACGTTCCAGCAGTCCATTATTATTGGACGAGCCACAGCACACGCGACCAGATTTGGAAGTGACTTCTTTTTTAAGGATAGGGCATCTCAATCCGAGGCCGTCAACTGCCAATCGACTCAATCGAATAAAAATTGCGCGTCGCCATGTAAAACTATTTATGCCCTCCGGTCATTTGGAATTTGACGGACCGCCAAAATCCCGTCAAATTTGGGTCAAATTTGACGGTCTCCGCAAATCGCAGTCAAATTTCTACGGACCTTTTACACGAAAATGTACTGCCCGCCAAATTGCTTATTCCATCTAGTCAATTGACGGTGCCCGTCAATCGAATTTTCTGTTCATCACTCGTGCATCGCTGTGGTGAAACAAAACATAAGAACTCCGCAGCTGACAGTACTGGTACCGCCAAAGGCTTTGACGCCATTGCCCTTTCCCTGACTTTGCCCCATACTTGAAATCGACTCATGTCCCTGTATCGTCCCGGTACCAAGTGTCACATTTTCAACAATCGGCCATGGCCAACGTTGGATCAGCAAAACCACCCCATTGGTCACAAGAGGAAATCAAGGCATTGGCGATTGCCTACTGTAAGGTCTCTGAAGATCCAGTGGATGGTCTCAAACAAACTGGCGCTACATACCATGCTCGGATTGTTGAAGAATGGACGAAGCAATCCCTTCCAAAGGTCCAGGAGGTCATTGAACGCCGCCAAGCTTCCTGCAAGGCCTATCGGAAGCTGGTAGAAGTCTAACATGAGGAAAGACATAAGGCAGTGGCAAAACGGATTGACACTCTAGCCACTCAAATTCAAAAAAGTACCGCTAGCCTGCAGGCAATGTGCGATACAATGATCAATGAAGAGAGTCAAAAGATGCTTGAACAGTCTGGTCTTTCACTTGATGATGTTGCAGTACTCTACATCGGAAAAGAAAGTCTGGTCCTATTGGTCGGCTTGCTCATGTCACATTAGGACATGGCTCGGTCTGCTTATGTCACGTGGCCATGTGATTTTATCGCAGCCATTCGACTGGAACCTTTTCATATTTATTTTTGCCTCTGTGCTAATGTCACCTTCGCCGTGTGAAAAAATCACCAAAGTTGGAACCCAATTCGAGGGGACTAAATGAAGGCTACCGTGCTATAGCACACGCATGCAATGGTTCGTGTCCGTAAGTGAAGGGGATCGGCCTTCGCGGAAGCCTGTCGATAACACACTCTTTTTAAGAATACGATTCGATCTACGTTACTACCTTTAACATCTACTACTTCGTAAGTCAACACCCTCGTAATAACATAACGATTACGTTTATATGACAGTCCCAATCAAAATCAGACCGGATATCGTGGAAAATCCGTAGCCGTGGTACAAAACGCGACGTTCCATTGAGTCGGTAAATAAATCTGACTTATTCGACTGTCAAATGACCAAAATTCTGTTTTGATTACAACTATTGTATTTGAACATCTACTATTTGTTCAATATATATAGTCTAGAGGTGTACGCACTTCAGATTATAATACATGGAATTTTGAAACATTCATCCAAGCCACCTGAAATGTTCGCAAGGGGGCAGCAGGAAGAAATCAAAGGAGGGAATCTCATTTCTGCCTCGACATTGCAAAACAGCACGCAAAGTCGATGCATGTATGTATGATGATAGCTTTTGTCGGGATCCAACCGTGTCTGGATAGCGACACATTGACTGGGATAGATTCTTGGCCACTTCTGGATTGCATGCCAAATTGACCAGAAAGGTCAATTAGGTGCAGTTGAATCACTTTGACTTTGAAATATTCCATTCCAAGCCAACTGGAACGGAGCGCTCCACTAGAATGATGGAATCTGGTGGTGATTTTGCACCTGAAAACAACGCTTTGATTTGTAGTGTGGTGCGCCTTGAGGTAAATGAACTCATCAAACACTCAGGGCAAATGCAAAGATAAGATTGCCGGTGAAATATTCGGCTGTAAAGGTCAAGTACTGTGGAGCGGTGAGTCAACAACAAGTTTGTACCTAAACAGAAGTTGCTCAAGTCATGTCGTTAAGAATGACTTCTCCCGCAGCAAGGCGGGGTGAATTCGGGGCGCTTCTTATTGTCCCACGAACGTTGGGAAGTGTTCAGGAGGGGGGAGCAGAGAAGATAGTCCGGAGGCTACGTCGTTGAGCCCGCAGAGAGCGACAATAGTCCTTGCGCTCCTGTCGAAGTAGCTTCAGCCATTCTTCCTTGTCCACCAGTGACTTCCGGAGGACGCTGTGACAGCATGTCAGCATGCGTCTAATATCCGGAGGTAAATCAGCTGAACCCATATCAAACTGAGAGTGAATCCCCTCGTTGACAACACAGTGACGTTCACGGAGCTGAACATTGTCATCCGGATGTTGAACGGCGTTCCGTTGTTCCCACATATAGAACCCAATGGAGATGAGTTGCTGGGAGAGACGTGAGGCCCACAGAGAAACGGACCGACAACTGTGAATCTCGTCAAAATAATTTTGTTGCAGAGACAGCCACAAGGAGGCCAGTCTGCCTTCCAAAAGTCCCTGACACCCAATAGCTTCCTGTGCCAGAAAGGCCGGGCGAATGGTCCGAGAGATCAAACAAGAGGGGGGACGTGATGAGTCGCGAACACCCTGAAGCAGAAGGAGTATCGCATGTTTGATGGCGGGGGAGGTAAGATGTAAATATATCCATCCAGAGCGAGAGCGCGGTCACCCTCCGGTCCCATTCGTCCCTAGCCGAGGCTGCTGGGCAACGGGGAACATGCAAGTGATCTTCAAACTCACCGCACCAAGGGCACGCAGCGGACAATTCAAGGCCCCAATACACTATGAACTTCCCCGTGCTGCACATGCCCACCCAATGTTTTGTAATCCAGCGCTGGAGTCCGGCAGGTAGTGACTGCATAGCGCGGCCCAGTGTCTCCCAGTCAATAAGGTTTTCAGGCTCCTCATGTTAGAATAAAGCAAAATGTGCTCTATCGTGAGTGCCTTTAGCGCTCAGAACAAACTCTCTGCAATCTAAATTCGTAATTGATTGTACAACACTTTCACGACAATAGTTCTCCTGTGTCTAGGTATGCTTTGAGTGAAATTGTTCCTATTTGATTAATGTTTGGCTTGAATTGATGATTCAATCACAAAAGTGAGTTCGACGATTTTCCCTTGGAAAATCCCTTGTTTACAGAACTCGATTCGACTTCTACGGCAATTCTGTGTTGAATGCAGTACTTTGGGATATCTTGCATTATTCCCTACTGCATCGTACACAACATCAATATTCCACTTGTACAGGATCTTTTCTTGTTCGTGTGGATACAGATTGTCCGACGGACTTGCGTCCGGCATACTTGCGTCGAATCCCGACATCTTGCACGATCAAATTCCGATCGCACGTGTCGAAAACCTCGTACTTGAATAGTTTCTTTGATGATTCAATCACAAAAGTGAGTTCGACGATTTTCCCTTGGAAAATCCCTTGTTTACAGAACTCGATTCGACTTCTACGGCAATTCTGTGTTGAATGCAGTACTTTGGGATATCTTGCATTATTCCCTACTGCATCGTACACAACATCAATATTCCACTTGTACAGGATCTTTTCTTGTTCGTGTGGATACAGATTGTCCGACGGACTTGCGTCCGGCATACTTGCGTCGAATCCCGACATCTTGCACGATCAAATTCCGATCGCACGTGTCGAAAACCTCGTACTTGAATAGTTTCTTTGATGATTCAATCACAAAAGTGAGTTCGACGATTTTCCCTTGGAAAATCCCTTGTTTACAGAACTCGATTCGACTTCTACGGCAATTCTGTGTTGAATGCAGTACTTTGGGATATCTTGCATTATTCCCTACTGCATCGTACACAACATCAATATTCCACTTGTACAGGATCTTTTCTTGTTCGTGTGGATACAGATTGTCCGACGGACTTGCGTCCGGCATACTTGCGTCGAATCCCGACATCTTGCACGATCAAATTCCGATCGCACGTGTCGAAAACCTCGTACTTGAATAGTTTCTTTGATGATTCAATCACAAAAGTGAGTTCGACGATTTTCCCTTGGAAAATCCCTTGTTTACAGAACTCGATTCGACTTCTACGGCAATTCTGTGTTGAATGCAGTACTTTGGGATATCTTGCATTATTCCCTACTGCATCGTACACAACATTGATATTCCACTTGTACAGGATCTTTTCCTGTTTGTGTGGATACAGATTGTCCGACAGACTTGCGTCCGGCATACTTGCGTTGAATCCCGACATCTTGCACGATCAAATTCCAATCGCACGTGTCGAAAACCTCGTACTTGAATAGTTTCGTTTGGAACGTAAAAACTCATATTTCGTCATATTCCAACAGTACCGGTTTCCAGTTGGTGAGCCTGGAGATTGGCGTCCATGTAGGCTCCAGTCTTTGTACCCCCCGACATATGGCGCAGGATCATCTCCAAGTGTTTGTACACTTGCTTGCCAAAGGGGTGAGGAACACCAAGGCCTTGATAATCCACCGGGGCAAAGACCACCAAACGGGGAAAGTTGCGGCAAACACCTGACTTAGGTAAGCACACCTGGAGAACCGGTGACATAATGTCCTGCCATTGTTGAGCGTTGAGGGTAGTGAGTGCCATAGGATATTCAAGCTTCTTCATGATCGTGGTCCGGATCAGTGGTAACATGTCGTACTTGTGTAGCAGGTGAGGCCAAAGCTGTTTGGCCCACTCTTTAGCTTTAGAGACCAACTGTGCCTCCTGTGCGTTGTGATTTTCCAGTGGCGACACCATCACCCCCAGAGTATGTTCGGAATCATCTGGTTCAAGGCGACGAAGGGGTTCAATGTCACCGTATAACCCCGGTATCTTAAGGTCAAATTCCGGTGCCGCGGAGCATTTCCTACGGAATCTCCACCGACCATTGCGAGCATCCTATTCAAAGTCAATAAGCCACCAGAAGGACTTCTCCGGATTGATTGCACCAATGTTGCCCAAATTCCCCCCAACCACAAGGTGGCAGCAGCCTGGACTGAGGCGCAAATATCCTCCCCAGAGTGAAGGACTGTGTCACCTGCTTCAATCACGTCCGTATCGTCAACAAAACAGAAACATTGGGCTGTCACTAGCTGTGACTCTAACGCCGAAAGACACTCAAATCCATAGCCCATTGCTTCCATCATTGTGATTAACACTGAGCTCACCAAGATCCAAATGGGGGGTCCTGCACCATTCCCTTGCCCACAACCTTGGAATGGCACCGCTGACGGAGGGCGAAAGCTTCTCTTGGAGTCACCAAGACCTGTGCAAACGCGGTGGGTAGCGGAGGAGAGCATGTTGAACATCGATGATAGGACACGCCATGTCAAGCCAAACCGCAACATTGTGACAATGGCCACCCAGTGGACCACACGGTCAAAGCAGGACTTGGCATCACTTGAGATCCACCCCGCTGCGCGGCGTTGAAGGATCAGTAGATCCCACACTAATTGTTTACCTCTGAGCAAAACAATAGGACAAAGAGTCAGAGTAGCTCTTGCACAATTACCCTACAAAGTGGTTCCCAAAGGTGATCACTGAATGTCTTGGACGTCAAGCCGCCGAGCTATTGAATGTCTTTCCCCAGAAAGACAGTATCTCGTCCCATTTCAGTCCGCAGCAACTCATTGATAATGTCAATATCAACTACAAGAGTGACATGGTTGCTGAACTTGGACAGTATGTTCATGCAATTGGGACAATTTACATTGAGCCTACAAAGGGACAACGTACTGGGCACTGAGTGCTCAACCTCAATACTAACAAGATGATTTCCCGACCCAAGGTTGTCCTACTACCAGGAGCGGCCCGAAATGGCAGACTTGCTGGGAATGTCCTCAGATATGTCATAGATTCCCTGGCAAGGATGAAGGAAACTGACGTGCCGGTGACAGATTGACTCACTCAGTCACTCTGCGTAAAGTACCAGCTTTGCATGCTGTACACACGTGGTACGGAGAAGAGGCTGATTTGCCGCTCAACGCCTGGCCTCATACAACATGGTCTCAGTTAACAACCAAGACACTTCCTTCCGTTGAATAAATATGTGCATGGTTGGAATGCTCCCGCACAGCTATCTGTCAGTGGGCGCCACATCAAATTCAAATCACCAACGTCTACTTTTGTATCAAAAGATGCCAACTCGCTCACGTAGCACCAACATTGCCAGCCGGTACCAGGAGTATTGGAAGCAATTCAAACAGAAACAACAGCACAATCATTCTCGTCATCACCACGCGCAAGACGACAAATCTGAGGAGTTAAACCAAGTAAGGACAACCGAACACAAGAAGAAGAAGGAGTTGAACCAAGTGACGAATCGTCCATCCATTCCACCCAATCCATCCAACTCCCGCAGCCTTGATAAAAATAATAACAAGAGAGTCTTGTTTCAAGGTTTGAATTCAAAACCATCGCAAGCACAAACACATGCAAAAAAACAACAACGACAAGACTCACAAACGAAGCATCCAAAGCAGCAGCGGATAAAGTCAGTCAAACTCATTCCGCAAGCTACGATTGCTTAGCGGGTGAATAGACCCAAGTTGACGGCTTCTGTTCTTTTGGTTATTCTGTCCTTACATCAAGCGATTGGATGTGGAGGAAGATGATGCCTTCCTTGCGCAAGCGTCCAATTTTCCACACGAGCCAAACAGGTATTGTATGACACGCAATAAGTATCAATTTTGAATGGTGGACTGTACCATGTGGCACTTGAGCGTGCGACAGAGTCTGCTCTTGTGAACAAGTCAAGTCATCGTGCTGAATAAAGGAGACAACAAGAACTCGTACCTCATACCCCATTACCTTTTTTTTCGGGATTTGCGGCCCAGCAAGGTGCAATCTATCAAGTTATTTATTGGCTGATGGGCCAAGTCTGGTTTCCCACATTGTTCAAGCTCTTTCTTTGATTTGGAATATGGCTGTCTTGTTTCAAAAAGAAGTCTGGCATCAGCGAAGATACGGCAACTTCTCGACAAGTGAATGGTCAAAAGATGACGTGAAACCGAGTCCATTCCTTGGGACCAAAATGAAACTTTTGGTATGAGGTTTGGCTGGACAAGAACATACTGGAACCTTGGCGCTACCATCATCGTAAGCTGGCGAAAAGCCTTTACTTTGTTGCTTTCCGATCGCATATCCTTTCTGCTCATTCCTTATGGATTTTTTAGGCTCCGTGCCTTTGGCCACTGGCGATATTATACATATTAGTAACACTATAGCTACCAGTTTGGATGACTAGACTGATAATACTGTAATTGTAGCAATGCTAGCACTACCGATAGATGTATATGCTTGAATACAAGTCTATTAGTTGGTTACAGGAGTATGGTTCTATGCTATATCTATCCGATTGTCACAAAAGTTAGTGGGACAGGGAAAATACAGTATTGTACAGCAGCAAGAGCCGCTCTTGGACGTCTCATGCTTTGTTTCGGACGTAGGTGCGTCTAGTAGGAAGACATCTAAGGACGTCCTCTTGTGTTGGAGGGCTTGAGATTTCCATTGTTGAACACTGGTGGTGCTCCAGTAAATCTCTTTGCTCCAGCCTGATCCTCCTGATCCTCCTCCATAGGGACAGTAGTATTACCGTCTCCCCCTCGAGCGCTACCAGCTGGGTTACTCCAAGATGGAGTAGAGAAAAGTTGGGATGGTGTTGGTCGTTCTGATGGACTGTTGGCGGCGGGTTGGGGTCCTAATGGAGTGTGGCGGGTGCCACTTGCAGGTGCAGAATCATCGAATCAACATCGCTTTTTAGGTCCAGTTGCCGCCGGCTTGGAATCGATAGCCTTGGTTGGTGAGAATAGGCTTGTTGCGAGAATGGGCCCAGGGCCAGGTGTTTTCTGCACAACTTTCTTAGCACTTTGTACTAGATCGTTAAACTTCTCGGCTTCATCAGCATTGAAGGCACGGGCAGTATCAATTTTCTTGTTGTGGAACCTTTCACGCATTTCAGTATTTTCTCCGCGTTCTCTTTCGCTTTCTTACTTTCCATTTGTTTTGCAAGAAAATCAAAGACAAGTGGATTGCTCCCCGCCGTCGCAATCAACACATCAGATCCAGCATGTGCAACTGTCGACTGGCCATGAGGAGTTTGAAAACCACCAGTTTGTCCAGAAAACTGGTTTGAATTTTGACTGGCCAGAACAAGGATAGCAGCCAAATGGCGACGGTCCAGTAGCACCATGATAGCTTGGGTTTGAAGTATCTGGTGTAGCGGTGGCCCCTGGGAGGAATGACGACTGAACAAGTTTTGGCCTCCCTGAGCATTGTGTTGGGTGGTGTTGAAGTTGGTGGCTCCAAAGCCATTGCCGTGGTTTAGGTTGGTGGCTCCAAAAGACTGGTTTGGGGCAAATTTAATGCGGGAAAAGTTGGCTTTACCACCAGGCATGCAATCTTGAAAGTTAGCTTGACCAGGAATGTAACCAGCAAAACCAGGAGTGCCTGGTGCATTATTCATCTTCTGCTCCTCCTCCTCCCTCTGCTTTGCCCTTGTTTCTTGTCTGTCGTTGGCTAAACGAGCTTTTCTTTGCTTTTCAGTTTCCCCTTTTCGACTAACCTTCTTTTGAACAGGCTTATTTGGGTCTACATTGTATTTTAGACGATAAAACTTCAAGCTAGAGATGGGACTTGCCTCAGCAATCTCCTCTTTTGTTCTCTTTTTCTTTTGTTTCTTTGCCGTTGGCATAAGCAAAGTTATTGATGTTGTTGTGGTGAAGTCAGTTTTCCATATATACTTGTATATGAACAAAACGGTTTTGAAATTTGTGACGACAACGGAAATTTCTTTGCGCGCTGCGACTATTTTTATAAAAGTAGCCGGGGGCTACAGGCCCATGACGTAGAAATGTCACTCCACGACAGTCATTCCATTTGTCTATTGCCAGCAAGTCACGGTTTGAAAAGATTCACCCGCGCGGGTAGTGGGTACAAAAATTAGAAGAAATCATTCTACTCGAATCCGCGCTTAAATTTAAGCGCGGATTGTCAATCCGCGCTTACTTTAGTAGCGAATTGTCAATCCGCGCTAAATTTAGTAGCGCATTGGCAATCCGCGCTTGATTTAGTACCCTAACCGTCTAAATGGAAAAAGGCATTGTCAATCAGCGCCTAAAAATGTTGATTGTTTTCTGTTTGCACTTTTCAAAAAAAATCTTTGGCGACTTGTCAGTTCAAAGTTTACTTAGAGAATCACAAAGATCTTACGGAACCTTGCAACCAAGGACTTTCAATCTCGTTGGCAGATATGGGCACCTTTGCGGCCGTAAACCTCAATGTTCTTGTAAAGGAAACTCCCTGCAATACTCTTTTTGCAAAAGCCATAGATCTTGTTTTCCTACCGGAGCCGTATCTTCTCCAGCCTCTATATATCTTGACGCAGAAGCCAATGGATATATCGGTAGTAGCTTTGAAATCAGGATACTGGATGATTGGCGACAAACTGTTTGACTCCGCTGATCTTCTTGTTCTCTTGCTTCCTCCGCGCTCTGACTGAGTCTATCAGCAAATTTCTTGAAATCAACCTTTCCAAGTTCCTATGTGAACTTGTGGCTCCGAGAAAACTCGGATTCTATTCTGGTACTTTCTACATACGTGAGAATATTCCGGTCAAATTTGGGAAAGAAAATTAATTGAATCCGAGTTTTTCTTGGATTCTATTTCAATAGAGCGCCTGCCAGGCAAAGCCGTTATCAGATGAATTTCAGATCAATTCTCATCAATATTGCGCACCATCATTATATAACATACATGTCATATATAATTTTCAAATATTTTTAGCTCTTTTGAAACTCTCACAGTCTGTGCAACCAAAGGTGCGCCATATTAGTCCCCCAATTTATACTTCATCATGCCTTGAATGTTGATGTTATCATGCGTTGGAGCTGTGTCTTGCAGTTGTGATAATGATTGTTAAGCATCAGGATACCTCAAGGAAACATAGTTCATCTGACGGGTCTTTCTAGCAGGGTCATGAAGGATGCTGCCAATGAATTGTGGAAACTTGGTATCTGTGCCTGCCAAACCAGATGTACCAACTGTTCACAAAGGGAACTTGATTCATGTCCAAAATGTCCACTACCCAAACATGCAACATGTGGCATCAAAGTTCCTAAAGATAATGGGGAGATTGTCTACTGGTGTTTCAAATGCAAGGAGGGTCCAAGCTTGACACGCCCTTCTAGAGTGAGAAAGAAGAGAATTAGAGGGCAAGAAGAAGCTGGCCAGGAGGAGGGGATAAAGGTCAATAAGGCAAAGAAGAAACCTAATCGTTTACACTATAAACTCCCTGTAAAGCAAACTGAAGCTACCAGACAAGATGATTCCTCAGAAGAACAATGTCAAGAAGACAATCAGCCAAGAAGACGCCAACTTCTCAAACTAAGAAGAAGTCAAATGTCCTGCTGTATGAACCTAGGTTGATGTCAACTGAAGCAAGTGAGCCTGATGATGAAGAGGATTTCTCAGAAGAAGAAATAAAGAAAAGGTCCAGGGTCAGGTCTTATCCTTGGAGACGTGTGCTTGTCACATCTAGTGACACTAGTGAAGACAATAGCCAATCTATTGACAAAATTGATGTCCAATGTAGTTATAGAAATAACAAAAGTGAAGAGGAAGGTCCACGGAGTGACAAGTGACCAAATTGAAGAGGAAGGCCAACCCAATTGTGCAGCTGGTAGTAAATGCAAGAATGAAAGTGATGTTGTTTCTGGAAAGTACCAATGTCAAGTATGTGACCTGGCCATGCATCAAGATTGTGGAGATAAACACGTCCCAATCCCAAAGGCAGATATGACGTTAGATATGGAAGCATATGCCTAAAGTGTTTGTCTATGAAGTGTGCAGCTAAAGGTTTGTGCAAACGGCAGGGATGGGTGGTGGACTTCCTTGTCATTAGTCATTTTCTATTCTACCTTTATTGAATGAAGCAATCATTACATTGGACCTATATGGTGGAAGCATAAGCACCATGATTGTATCCAACAGACCATCAACTGGAACATGCAAACCTATGGATGAATTCCAGTTCCACCAATCAGAGTTGCCCAGGTGATGACCAATCCCTCACTGTTGCTTGTCTATCCATTGGGGCAATAATTCTATTTGACCTATACAATGGAGGAAGAATAGGTAAGCATGACAGTCAAACAAAATCCTTGACCACAAAGAAGCATCAGCTGGAACTCCTAAATTCATCCAACAATTTCAGTTCTACTCATCAGATTTACTTCCCTCCATCATGTCTCAATCACTCACTGTCTCCGTGTATTCATTGAACTAGTCAATATATTTGATCCAGAGTGTGGAAGCACATAGTATGCATGACAAGCCAACAAAAAAGAAAACAAACATCCACTGAAAGTAATAATCTCACAATCATAAACTCATCAATCAATTTCAGACTGCATATCAGATTTGCCCCCATCATGACCCAACCGCTCACCATTATCCATGAAACCATTTGAGTAATCATAGTAGTGGTACTATATTAGAGAATCATATGATGAGCACAGAGCAATGGAAAACAAAAATAAACTTATGAACAGAAACTCACCAATTTGTCCATAGATTCAAGTTCTACTCGTCAGAATTGCATTGACCATAATCCAATCGGTCACCAATATGTATTCGTTGATTGGAACAATGATCATATTGGACCTATATAGCGGGGGCACATGTTAAGCATGACGATCGATGGAAACTCCACAACAAACATCAGCTGGAACTCACCACTTGTCCATCAATTCAAGTTCTAAACATCAGCATTGCCTCCGCCATACTCCCATTGCTCACCACCCTATCAGAAATGCTTTGGCCATGACCCAATCGCTCACCAGTATGTATTGGTTGATGGGAACAATCATTATATTGGGTCTATATGGTGGAAGCACATTGTAAGCATGACGATCGATCAAAATTCCACAACAAGCATTAGCTAAAACTCACTAACTTGCCCATCAATTCAAGTTCTACTCATCAGAATTGCCTCAGCCATGACCCAATCGCTCACCATAACATAGATCGTAGTAGATTCAATGATTGTGCCAGCTGCAATGATCAGTCTACCCGCGAAGATACAAACATTTAAGCGCGGATTGGCAATCCGCGCTTAATGTAGTAGCGCATTGGCAATCCGCGCTTAATGTAGTAGCGGATCGGCAATCCGCGCTTAATCTTTGTATGTTTGCGGGTAGACTGATCATTGCGGGTGGCACAATCATTGAATCAACTACGACCCGTTTGAATTGTAAGAAGCTGCGCCAGCTCGGAGAGGAATGGTCCCTGCACGCGCTTTTTCACGTTTTCTGCGCCATGGGCCAGTAGGGTAGAGTGCCATCAGCCGTCAGAGAGACTGCTAAGGGCATCTCCAGTGATTGGCTGAAATTGGAAGACGTTCAGATGTTTTATGACTATGCTTCGAAAGAAGCATTCTTTGGTCTTGCCGTCAATCCAAAATTGATGGCACTGCCTCCCAGCCGAAAAAACTCCGTAAATCATCAATTTCACACTCAATTACATCGGTAGAAACTGCCTGGATGCCTTACAACTATTCCTCGTCTTCTACAAGTTTTTCATCAACATGTTCATCATCATCAGACGGCAGCGATGATGCAATGACTCTCGATCTGCGAAGGGACTTGGTTGAACATAAAGACAGGTGGAGTTGCAATTAAAGTAATATCCTAAAGTAATATCCTATTTAGAGTACTGCAACATCATCAAGTGAAAGACCAGACTGTTCAAGCATCTTTTGACTCTCTTCATTGATCATTGTTTCGCACAATGCCTGCAGGCTAGCGGTACTTTTTTGAATTTGAGTGGCTAGAGTGTCAATCTGTTTTGCCACTTCCTTATGTCTTTCCTCATGTTAGACTATATATACCCTATAGAAAAAGAAAAGGGGAAGGGTTGGCATTTTCCTTTAAGGTTGGCTTTTTCTTTAATCGTTTCTGTTGCTTTTGATGGATGAACAATTTTGGGGCATAGCCCCTTTTTTA